CTTTGTGTTCGTGACGGCCAGGGGGTACATCGGTGACGTCATCAAGTGCGTCACGGGCACGGAGAGGACGGAACATAAGGCGATTGAGACGTATTGTTTCATGACGTCACGTTTTACTGTTGTTGATTTGGGGCCTGAGGTGAGAAGGGGTTTTCGTTACGTTTCGCTAATGTTTATGTATATATATGTATATATGTATACACACACACACACACACACACACACACACACACACACACACACACACACACACACACACACACACACTATATATATATATATATATATATATATATATATATATATATATATATATATATATATATATATGTGTGTGTGTGTGTGTGTGTGTGTGTGTGTGTGTGTGTGTACCAAACCATCCTTCCAAAAAAAAAAAAAATCTCTCTCTCCCCTCTCTCTCTCTCTCTCTCTCTGTCTCTCCTCTGTGTGTGTGTGTATGTATGTATAGGATGAGATCAAATACTGTTTTTTATATTTTTTCTTTCTTTTCATTGAATCAAATATTTCGTATTTCATTGTCCTTAAAATCAGACAATTTTATCCATATTTTTTTCTCTTTAGATTAAACGCTCCTTTGTACTTTGTCCTTTCTATCCTTAAATCATTTTTTAGAACGTTATCCTCTCTTATTGCAAATACTTTTGTGTATCATATTATCTCTCTTAATCAAACGCTATTTATACCCTGTTTTTCCCTCCGTCTTTGAATATCATTTTGAGCCTTAAGGTCGTATGCTTAAAGAAATTGTGTGACGCAAAATCTGTTCTTAACACAATTTTCTTATTCTAGAATCTTCATGATTGTAGGAAATCTTGAAGTAGATTTAGGACTATCACTTTCAAAAATGCAATGTCTTTATTCTCTTGTTTTATACCAGTTGATTTTTATTATCGTTATTATTCCTTAGTAGAGGATTCTGCGCTTCGAAGAGTGGGTTCCACAATTTCTTTATGTATAAGACCTCTATTTTCAACACAAGTATCAACTTATTGTGCCTGATCCTCTCTCCTTCTACGTACCAAACCATCCTTCTAAAAGAGAGAAAAAAAAAAATCTCTCTCTCTCTCTCCTCTCTCCTCTCTCTCCTTCCTCCCTCTCTCTTTCCCTCCTCCCTCTCTCTCTCTTCTTTCCTCCTCTCTCTCTCTTCCTCTCCTTCTCCTTCTCCTTCTCCCTCTCCCTCTTTCTCCCTCTCCCTCTCACCCTTCCACTCCATGAATCACCACCAACTTCCTGCCTCCCTTCCAGCGCAGGCATCAGCCCAGCCTGGCGCAGGACCCTCCACCACACAGGACTCGCCGGAGGACCGCCAGCGCCGCGCCTGCTGCCAGTGGGTCCCCCTCGCGTTGGTGCTGCGAATCGTCATCTATTATCTCCCTGCGTACCTGTGGCACCTGGTCGGCTTCGGGTTCTCTGATTAGCGGTCGATCTTGATCAAGTGTTCCCCGAGAGAGTTGCAAAGAGGGTAGGTATGCTGCGTGTGTGTGTGTGTGTGTGTGTGTGTGTGTGTGTGTGTGTGTGTGTGTGTGTGTGTGTGTGTGTACATAAATGCATATCTTTAAGTATATATATATATATATATATATATATATATATATATATATATATATATATATATATATATATATATATATATATATATAAACATTGCATGCATGTATGTATGTTTGAATATATATAAACTTTATCAAATCAGGTCAAGCTGGCGACGGAATACTTCGTGTTCCCTGGGCACGCACGGCCTCTGCGCCTTGCCCGTCCTCCTGTGCGAGGGCCTGGCAGTCTTCCTCGCCCTCGGGAACCTCCCCTTTGCGAACAAATTCCTCGGGGGAAAGTTCTTCAGATACGGGCTCTCGGCGGCCAAGTTCCTGCTGGACAGAGCGGCGGAAGGGACGGGCCCGCTGGATGAGGTGTTTCCCAAGGGGAGGGAGAGGAGAGAGGGGGAGAAAGGGAGGGAAGGAGAGAGAGGGAAGGAAGGGGAAAAATGAAGGAGGGAGAGAGAGAGGGGGAGAAAGGGAGGGAAGGAGAGAGAGGGAAGTGTATATTTATGGAAATAATAGGGAATTATGAATGTGTGTACCTTTGTAAATATTATTGGAACCTACGTTATTATTGTGTATATTAGAAATGTATTCATTTTGAGGATTATCAACGTATGACATATCTATTGTTGTTTGTTATTTAGTTGTATACGAAGAATTGTCAAATTTAAGTTCTAATGAAGATATATTATTTAGTTACGGGAAAAGTTGCGCATTATAAATTTCTTTTGTCACGAGGAAGCGTTGTTGACAAGCTGAAATGAGCGGGACACGCGAAGGCTGCCTCTATTCCTAGGATCTCTATTATTCCTACCTCTCTATCTCTATTCCCACCTCTCTATTATTCCTACCTCTCTATCTCTATTCCTATCTCTATCTCTATTCCTCTCTATCTCTATACCTCTCTATCCTATTCCTACCTCTCTATCTCTATCTCTATCTCTATTCTTCTCTATCTCTATTCCTACCTCTCTATCTCTATTCCTACTATCTCCATTTCTATCTCTCCTCTGAATAAGACGTATTGAAATTGTCAATTTTTGTTTCATAGATATGAGTGGGAACATTATTCGTATTTGTTTTATTTCTTGAGTATATGATTAATGAAATTAAGAATTTTAGTGGCCTGACATAATGATTTATCGTGGATTGAGGAAATTTAAATATCAGTGTTAGGGATTTTCAACTGTCATTTTCTATAGAAGGCTATATGGTATTATGTTGGTTTTGTGCAGCCTGATGACTGACGGGCATGGAACGGACTGAGTTTGGGCGAGATTTCTTATATAGCATCATCATCATCATTCCGGGGCGAGGTGCCATGATGTAAATGAGCTGTTGTTGTATTTGGAACTGTGTGATTCTAGATTATTACTGATTTTTTTTTGGAAGATACTGTGTGCTGGTTCCCTGTATGTGAAAGTTTAATCACTTTTATTTTGAACAATTCTCCGAAGTTTTGGCCTCTTAATTATTTATTTATCTGTGTGCTCATTGACTTATTTGTCATTTCTTATTTTGAAATATATTGTTTACAGGTTGAATAAAATGTGAACCTACATAGAAACTGCTGCATATTATTCTACCCTTGGTGTAATGTGAGCCAAACCCTGTGATGAGAGTCTACTGTTACAGGAAGGAGGGAGAGAGAGGGAGAGAAGGAGGGAAGGAGAGAGAGAGGGGGGGAGGAAAGAGAGAGATGCTGTATATATAGTATATATATATATATATATATATATATATATATATATATATATATATATATATATATATATATATATATATATATATATATATTGTATATATATATATATATATATTATATATATATATATATATATATATATATATATATATATATATATATATATATATATATATATATATATATATATATATATATATATATATATATATATATATGTCTGTGTGTGTGTGTGTGTGTGTGTGTGAGTTCTTTGTATGCGATGCAGTGCGTGTTGTTTTAATATATAATTCTCTATATGAGTGTAATATAGAATTAATAAAAAAAAAAAAAAAAAATAACTTAATTACCAACATATCACTTGCGTATCAGAATCACAAGAAGAATCTAGATGATTAAAATCTATTGTTTATTACTGCTTATTCTAAGCATAGTCGGTGGTTAGCCTGAACGCAGTACGTTAAAGCATGGGGGGTGGGGGTACTATAGGGAATTTCACACTATTACAGAATTCTAATTTGAATATTCAGGGGAGATACTCCTCAGGAATAAAACCTCTGGGGAGTTACTTCACATATATTTTGAGCCAATAGTTTCCATAATTGAATCAAATTTGAATAAAACAATACAGGCTGTGGGAAGGGAGTATACATTTGATACCACATTTTCTTTATCAACAGAATGGTAGTAGAACAGTGTCACAGATTTACTATCAAAAGTACTGACGACTCGACTGGACAAACATAGAGCAAGAGACATAAAAATTCTCTGCTCTGTGCACTCTGGACTGACCTAATGCTCAATATCTTTCACTTTCGGCAATAGCACCGTCACCGAATAGCCCGAGAAGGAGACCCAGGAAGTCGCCCTTGAGCCCGAGAAGGAGACCCAGGAAGTCGCCCTTGAGCCCGAGAAGGAGACCCAGGAAGTCGCCCTTGAGCCCGAGAAGGAGACCCAGGCAGCCCAGGAAGTCGCCTTGAGCCCGATTCGAGCCCGAGAAGGAGACCCAGGAAGTCGCCCTTGAGCCCGAGAAGGAGACCCAGGAAGTCGCCCTTGAGCCCGAGAAGGAGACCAGGAAGTCGCCTTGAGCCCGAGAAGGAGACCCAGGAAGTCGCCCTTGAGCCCGAGAAGGAGACCCAGGAAGTCGCCCTTGAGCCCGAGAAGGAGACCCAGGAAGTCGCCCTTGAGCCCGAGAAGGAGACCCAGGAAGTCGCCCTTGAGCCCGAGGAGACCCAGGAAGTCGCCCCCCCAGGAAGTCGCCCTTGAGCCCGAGAAGGAGACCCAGGAAGTCGCCGAAGAGCCCGAGAAGGAGACCCAGGAAGTCGCCGAGCCCGAGAAGGAGACCCAGGAAGTCGCCCTTGAGCCCGAGAAGGAGACCCAGGAAGTCGCGAGCCCGAGAAGGAGACCCAGGAAGTCGCCCTTGAGCCCGAGAAGGAGACCAGGAAGTCGCCCTTGAGCCCGAGAAGGAGACGGAAGTCGCCCTTGAGCCCGAGAAGGAGACCCAGGAAGTCGCCCTTGAGCCCGAGAAGGAGACCCAGGAAGTCGCCCTTGAGCCCGAGAAGGAGACCCAGGAAGTCGCCCCGAGAAGGAGACCCAGGAAGTCGCCCAAAAGCCCGAGAAAGAGACCCAGGAAGTCACCCTTGAAACCGAAAACGAGAGTCAGGAAGTTGCCCTTGAGTCCGAGAAGACCCAGGAGGCTATTGCCATTATCAGAGATGCGCTCCATATGTATGATCATGCCAAAAGGAATTAGTTCTTTGAGTGGGTCAAGTTGTGCGTCGCCGAGTTTCGAGTCACCCTAGAGGCCGAGAAGGAGACCCAGGAAGTCACCCTTGAACCCGAGAAGGAGACCCGAGAAGCCTTGAGCCCGAGAAGGAGATCCACGAAGTCGTTGCCGTTGAGCCCGAGAAGGAGACCCAGGAAGTCGACGCCCTTGAGCCCGAGAAGGAGACCCAGGAAGCCGCCGCCCTTGAGCCCGAGAAGGAGACCCAGGAAGTCATCCTAGAGCCCGAGAAGGAGACCGGGAAGTCGCCGCCCTTGAGCCGAGAAGGAGACCGGAAGTTGAGCCCGAGAAGGAGACCCAGGAAGTCATCCTTGAGCCCGAGAAGGAGAGCAAGGAAGTCACCCTAGAGCCCGAGAAGGAGACCCAGGAAGTCATCCCCGAGAAGGAGACCCAGAAGTCGCAGCCCGAGAAGGAACCCAGGAAAGCCCGAGAAGGAGACCCAGGAAGTCACCCTAGAGCCCGAGAAGGAGACCCAGGAAGTCACCCTAGAGCCCGAGAAGGAGACCCGGGAAGTCACCCGAGAAGGAGACCCAGGAAGTCACCCTAGAGCCCGAGAAGGAGACCCAGGAAGTCGCCCTGAGACCAGGAGGAAGCCCGACCAGGGTCGTCCGAGAGCCCGAGAAGGAGACCCAGGAAGTCGACGCCCTTGAGCCCGAGAAGGAGACCCAGGAAGTCCGCCCTGAGCCCGAGAAGGAGACCCAGGAAGTCACCCGAGAGCCGAGAAGGAGACTCACCCTAGAGCCCGAGAAGGAGACCCAGGAAGTCCCGAGCCCGAGAAGGAGACCCAGGAAGTCAGCCCGAGAAGGAGACCCAGGAAGTCAGCCGAGAAGGAGACCCAGGAAGTCACCCTAGAGCCCGAGAAGGAGGGGAAGTGAGCCCGAGAAGGAGACCCAGGAAGTCGCCCAGAGCCCGAGAAGGAGACCAGGAAGTCACCCTAGAGCCCGAGAAGGAGACCCAGGAAGTCGCCGCCCGAGCCCGAGAAGGAGACCCAGGAAGTCAGCCGAGAAGGAGACCCAGGAAGAGCCCGAGAAGGAGACCCAGGAAGTCGCCCAAGAGCCGACCAGGACCCAGACCAGAGAGCCCGAGAAGGAGACCCAGGAAGTCGCCCCTGAGCCCGAGAAGGAGACCCAGGAAGTCTTGAGCCCGAGAAGGGAGACCCAGGAAGTCGAGCCCGAGAAGGAGACCCAGGAAGTCGCCCGAGCCCGAGAAGGAGACCCAGGAAGTCCCCAGAGCCCGAGAAGGAGATCACCCAGAGCCCGAGAAGGAGACCCAGGAAGTCGAGCCCGAGAAGGAGACCCAGGAAGTCCCCCCCGAGAAGGAGACCCAAGTTCCGAGAAGGAGACCCAGGAAGTCACCCTAGAGCCCGAGAAGGAGACCCAGGAAGTCACCCAGAGCCCGAGAAGAGACCAGGAAGTCGAGCCCGAGAAGGAGACCCAGGAAGTCGCCGGCCCGAGAAGGAGACCCAGGAAGTCGCCCGAGCCCGAGAAGGAGACCCAGGAAGTCGCCCCCGAGCCGAAGGAGACCCAGGAAGTCGCCCGAGCCCGAGAAGGAGACCAGGAAGTCGCCCAAGAGCGAACCAGGAAGGAAGAAGTCGCCGAGAGCCCGAGAAGGAGACCAGGAAGTCGCCGGAGCCCGAGAAGGAGACCCAGGAAGTCACCCCGAGAAGAAGGAGACCCAGGAAGTCGAGCCCGAGAAGGAGACCCAGGAAGTCGCCCGAGCCCGAGAAGGAGACCAGGAAGTCGCCCCCGAGAAGGAGACCCAGGAAGTCGCCCAAGAGCCCGAGAAGGAGACCCAGGAAGTCGCCCAAGAGCCCGAGAAGGAGACCCAGGAAGTCGCCCAAGAGCCCGAGAAAGGAGACCCAGGAAGTCGCCCAGGAGCCGAGAAGGAGACCCAGGAAGTCGCCCAAGCTCGAGAAGGAGACCCAGGAAGTC